GTGACACTGAAGACTGGAGTAATGATGCTGAAAATACAGCTGCGCATCACAGAAATAAATTACAGTTTAACAGATATTCACACAGAAAACTGCTATTATTGTAATAATATTTCACAAATTTTACTGTATTTTTAATCAAATAAATGCAGCCCTGGTGAGCAGAAGACACTTCTTTCAAAAACATTAAAAAAATCTTCATTATTCAAAACTTTTAACCGGCATTGAAAATAATGCGTATTATAAAAGTGCAACATAAAGCATAAACACACACCTTTCTTTGTCATCTGAGCTCTTGTCAAGTCCATCCAAATGACCTTTGACCTTCTGCACACAGCTGCTGTGATGTTGGGCTTTAGCAGCGAGCAGCTCCACATGATCTCCAGCTCCATCATCTAGAGAAACAAAATCAGCTCAATCCTGATCATCAGTGGAACTGCATGCATTGCCTTCAGGCCTGACGCCTCTAGTAGAGTTTAAAATGACAAAATCAATATCAAGTTCATCATGAGCTTCAGGCGCTGCTGACAGCAACATCATATCAGTGTGAGGATGATGAAGAAGAGCTGAGGACAAACATTATCATCATACTTAGTGGGCGGCATGAACAAAATCTATGACTAATTTCATATAACCACAACAACATTATATTACCATGATATAGTTATTTTTGCTAGAAAGTCTATGAAAAGATAGTTGGCATATAAAACAACCTTGAAGTAAAATACTGCTCTATTAATTCGCCAAACAACTAAACTGCTTCATGCTCTGCCAAAAAAAGAACAAGAATTTGCTCACCTTTACTCATTTGAGTTGAGTATTTTCACATTACTCTTGTTTTCGTATCAGTCTCAGTTGTACAATAGCATTTAAAATTTTAACATTTTTGAAAGAAGTGTCTTCTGCTCACCAGGGCAGTGTCTATTTGATTCAAAAATATAGTCAAAAATGTGAAATATTATTTTAATGTAAAACAGCTGTTTTCTGTGTGAATATCTGTTAAACTGTAATGTATTTCTGTGATGCGCAGCTGTATTTTCAGCATCATTACTGCAGTCTTCAGTGTCACATGATCTTCAGAAATCATTCTAATATGCTGATTTGCTGCTCAACAAACATTTCTGATTATTATCAATGTTGAAAACAGTTGTGCTGCACGATATTTGTGGAAACTGATGCATTTTATTTTTCAGGATTGTTTGATGAATAGAAAGTTCAAAAGAACAGCATTTATTTCAAATAGAAATCTTTTGTAACATTATAAATGTCTTGACCGTCACTCTTAATCAATTTAATGCATCCTTGATGAATAAAACCTTCGAGCGGTTGTATATATCTACTGCTAAAATCCCTCTTTCTGCTGTTGCATGATATACTGTATTATTCTGCCCAGCTGTAATCATGCAACATTAAACAGCTCATACAAAATTAAAACACTAGATTTATATTTCCTGAAGGAGACGTCAGTTTTAGCACAGCAGCAGCAGAATCATGTTAAGTAAACTCGGGTATTAATCATTGGTGAAAAAAGACGACTTTAGAAGGTCAAATATATAAGAAAGAAGCAAACAATCATAATTTATGAAGATAGAAAGCCAATTGGAATTCACTGTGCAAATCATCCTATGTAAGATTCTGCATGCAAGCGCAAATATCTAAAGTATAATGTTTGCAAAAAACTAAAATATATAATGATTTCTAACATGCATCTGATGTTTGAGAGCTGCACAGATCAAACACCATTAAATCTGTTCCACATTTCAGTGTGTTGATGCTGCGATGGGAATTAATTACAATTATGAGCTATAGAAAGAAAGCCGAACATACAGTTGTAATTGTATTACCAATCAAGACAGTTGACTAGTATTAGCATAGAGTCCTACAAGTGAGATTAAAATATGCACAAACCTTTGACTTTACCGTCAGCATCCAGGACGGTTTGGAAAGCATCAGGTGCCAGAGAGACTCCAGCACTAACCAGCAGCGGCCGTCGCTTTCTCAAAACCTCGCGGCCGCTTCCCTCTTTAGCCTGTATAGATCACATCACATAATCAATACCGTACATACAGAACACCAGCGCTCTGATACTGAACCCAGACACACCGGCCCATCTGAACAATGTGTTAAGACATCAAATGTGATGACTTCAGATGCTAAATTTAAACATTTGGGGTTGGTAAGTTTTCTCAAATGTTTTTAAAAAAGAAGTCTCTTCTGCTCGACAAGAGTGCATTTATTTGATGAAAAATACAGAAAAAATTTTGAAATGTTTTTACAATATAAAACAGCTGTTTTCTATGTGAATATCTGTTAGAATATAATTTATTTCTGTGATCAAAGCTGTATTTTCAGCATCATTACTCCAGTCTTCAGTGTCACATAATCTTCAGAAATCATTCTAATATGCTGATTTGCTGCTCAAGAAACATTTCTGATTATTATCAATGTTGAAAACGGTCGTGCTGCACAATATTTTTGTGGAAACCGTGTTACATTTTATTTTTCAGGATTTTTCAAAAGTTCAAAAGAACAGCATTTATTTGAAACAGAAATCTTTTGGAAAATTATACATGTCTTTACTGTCACTTTTGAGCAATTTAAAGGAATAGTTCACTTAAAAATAAAAATGAGCTAAAACTGTGCTCATCCTCAGGCCATCCAATGAATGAATGAATGAATGAATGATGCATTTATATGGAGTGCTTGTGGATTATTGCGATGTTTTTATCAGCTGTTTGGACTCTCATTCTGATGGCACCCATTCACTGCAGAGCATCCATTGCTGAGACACTGATGCAATGCTACATTTCTACAAATCTGATGAAGAAACAAACTCATCCTAATCTTGGATGCCCTCAGGATGAGCACATTTACAGCACATGTTAATTTTTAGGTGAACTATTCCTTTAATGCATCCTTGCAAGATCTTTCAGAAAAAAATCTAACTGACCCCAAACTTTTGAATAGTTGTGCATTTCCAATTCTGTCCAAAGTCTAATGCAGCGTTGCTTGTAAAATGCACATCAAAGTGATGTCTCAGAATGCAGAGCGGTACAAAACTGATGAGGTTTTGTTTCAGGATGGGTCGTTCATACAGGACACATTCTTTTGTTCCGTCTCCTGTTAAGTTTTATTTTTAGACTTTGTGCACCTGCATCAGACAGACGGCTTTGGCCACTGTGTCGCATCTTGCTGTTTTCAAGCATCTCACGCTGCATTTTAAAAATAGTTCTTTTGAGAAACTGTGAAAAACACATAACGACATGTTTTGATTCGCACTCTGTCTGGCTGCTTTTGCACACCAGAGCAGTGTGAACACTTAATGAGAGCCGCTCATTGAGTGAGTGAAGCACCTGCTGGATGAGTCTGGCGGCGCGCTCCTCCGGTCGTGTGGGAGCGCTGTGGACAGAGGAGCGCAGCTGGAGGAGGTGTAAGGAGGAGGACAGCTGCTGGGAGTGAGGATCCAGCTCAAGGGCTTTCTGAAGATGCTTCATGGCAGATTCCAGCTTTTCATCCTCCTCGTCTATAGCGGCCAGTTCATTGTGAACCCGACACAACACATCCAGCAGCAAACTGTGCACAAACACGCAGTTTAAACAACCACGACTTTAAATCAAGTCACATTTTATAGTGTTGTATACTAAAGCAATAAGCCCCGTGAAGCCGTGGTTTACAGTGAATTTATAACAGCTGAGGGGTGTTGTTAGGCACGATGCAAAGCGGAGCTAAACCCCCTTAGCTGTTATAAATTCACTGTAAACCACGGCTTCACGGGGCTTATTGCTTTTATAAAACGGTTATTCCATATACGTAGTAAGGTTTCACAAAATAAAACGGAGCAAATAAAGTGTAATGATATTAATAAAAACAGTATTCTTCCACCAAACAATGTAGTTCCTCAGAAACAGTTGTGGTTGCTACAAAGTGGTTGCCGAGCTACACACAAACGTAAACAAAGGTGTATGTTACTTTGTAGAGTCATTTACAACAGCTTCGAACGCGGCTCAGCCAATCAGAATCAAGCACCGGAACTCTCCGCTTTATAAAATACAGATTCAAAACAGCTTCTCGGTAATAAACAGGAAAATAACGGAATCAGTGTTGCAAACGTCTTCAAATATATGACAAATTCAAATTCTGCTGTAAGGCAGCTCTAAGGAAGACAATAGTGTCGTTATTCAGCTCAGTTCAGTTCAGTGTTGATTCAGTTCAATTCATTAACTGTAATGTTCATCAGTTCAGCTTAGCTAAGTGTCGTTATTCAGCTAAACTTCAGTTGATTCAAACTAAAGTTCAATGTTGATTCAATTCAGTTCAATAACAGTGTCAATGTTGCACAAACATGTTGCTTGGGACTTAAATTTCAGTCTGTTCCTCACTCATGACTTCATGCTAGACTATAGTACGTGAGACTAATTTTAGGACTTTTAAAGTGATCTTTTTGTCTTTGAAACATTTTTAAAAAGTGAGTTTATATCTCACAATTCTGACTTCATGACACGCAATTCCAAATTTTAAAGTCAGAATTGTGAGATATAAGCTTGGAATTGTAAGAAAATAATATTTTTTTCCTCAGATTTGGACTTTATAACACGCGATTGCGAGTTTATATTTCACAGTTCTGAGAAAAGAAGTCAGAATTGTGAGATAAAAAGACGCAATTACCTTTTTTTAACTTTTTTATTCAGTGGAGGAAATGGGCTTCCACAATAGATAATACTAAAATAATTTAGGAATATAGGAATGTTTTGTCCTTACACCAAAAAAAAACAAAAACAAATATTCTACACATAATATTCCACACTTCTCACATGCAACACAAAAGTAGACACATTTAGCAGAAGTTTTAGTGGCAAGGGGAAGATAATCAGTGATAGCGACGGATATTTAAATGTGTTTCTCAAAAAAAAAAGCATTGCATGACTTCATAAGATGTAGAATATAGTGCATGTGACTAATTTTAGGACTTCTACAGTGATTTTTTTGGTCTCAAAAAATATGAATAATAAATAAAAAAGAAATTCAGAAAATCAGTTTTCAAAAAAAAAAAGAAAACCAATGATATATGAATAAATCCTAAAACAGTATTTTAATTATGGAAGCTTGGTATTGCAACTGAATAAAAAAAATAAAAATAATTGTGAATTTATTTCACAATTCTGACTTTATTTCTCAGAGTTGCGAGTTTATATCTCACAATTCTGACTTCATAACACGCAACTGCGAGTCAGAATTGTGATATAAGCTTGCAACTGTAAAAAATTAGAATTGGACTTTATAACTCACAATTCTGAGAAAAAGACAGAATTGCAAGTTTATATCATGAATTCTGAGAAAAAAAATCAGAATTGTGAGATAAAAAGTTGCATTTAAAAAAAAAATAGAATACTAAAAAAATATGGGTCATATTAGTCATTGTGCAAAAAAAATTAAAAAGCAATAAAAAAATTTGTAATCCCTATTTTTGTCACTCAACGCTCAAAGTTTACTTCCCACATGCAACACAAAAGGGCTCATTTAGCAGAAGGTATAGTGGCGAGGAGAAGATAATCAGTGATAGCGACTGATATTTAAGTGTGACAAAAAAGCATTGCATGACTTCAGAAGATGTAGAATATAATGCATAAGAACAATTTTTTATTTTATTTTTAAGGTGATGTTTTTGTCTTGTTTGGCGCCTCTGGTCACTGTCTGCTTTCACTGGACGAAGATGTTTTACAATCTGCTGAACGTCTCTTTCTATGTTCCACACAGTGACTAAATGTGACATAAGGGAGGAGCACATTTTCTCTGCTATCCAAAAGTAGACCTAAATAAGACTGAACTCAGATTCCCAGAGTAAACCGTATCAAGTGTAAAGGAGCATGTTTCAGACCTGTGTGTGTGCTGCAGCGCTCGAGCGAGGGTGAGCAGGGGTTTCTGGACTCTCTTTCGGAGGTTGTGTTGGAGAAGCGGCAGACATGCGTTCCACTGACACACACACACCGCTTGAGTCGCCCGAGCATCTGTTTGCTCCAGCGCCGTCTGCAGCACTGCATCCAACCGCATGATAACACTCGACCGCAGCTGCGAGAAACAACACCTGCACTCAACACTGATACTTCTCATATTTTATTAGACATGCATATGAAACAGATCTTCATCTGCACTCAGCAATGTTGGCCTTTTTTATCAACAGTCGCTTATTTAACACTCATTTAAGATTATCATCTAACTTTGGCTTCTAATGTGATATTTATGAAAACTTGAGAAGCAGACAGTATTATTTTAGTATCATTGAAATACTATTACAGTTTTTATTAATAGTTTGGACAATTTTTTATTTCTATATGTTCCCTTTTCTTTTGAGTTAAAACCCTTTTTAATACATTTTGTTTTTTAATATGTCTGTATAGCTTTTTATTCATTTTTATTTTGTTTTTTTAGTTATTTTAGCAAATCACGTTAAACAAATGGAAAATGAGAAATGTTGTTAAATTGAATTTTTATTTCGGTTAACATTTATTTTAAGTACTAAAATGCTTTGTTGTAGTTAACACCATGGAAATAATTAAATTAAATTATATTATTTTATTAAATTTAATTAATAAAATAATTTAATCATGAAGTTAATTTATTGTGCTCGAATACACCATTAAAAATTGTTTTTGGTAATTGAAACAAAGCTGAAAAAATATAAACATTAGATGAAAAACATAAACGCTGCGAGTTAAAGTACTAAAATGACTAAAAACAAAAATGAATTAAAACTACATGGAAATGTTATTTCTAAAAAACGAAGTAACCATTTCTTTACTTTATTCTATTATAATTCTATAGAATATTCTATAATCTATTTATTTAAATAACTATTTTTGTCTTGTTTTCTGGTATAAATATCTAAACAACTTTAAAACATGCTTAATTTCATTGAGAAGCACAACTATGTAAGATATTAAGCTAGATATATTGAATTAAGTTGGCAAATTGTTTCTTTTTTAGCACATATTTATGTATATCGTTTACTGTTTTTACACATGCATATGGTTTTTACTATATTTAATATACTGTATGTAAAGCACATTGGCCGACATGAGTTGTTTAAAATGTGCTACAGAAATGAATACATGAAATGCAAAATAGAAATGAACAAATTGAACAGGAGCGGATAGAAAAATCAGAGCGTTGGCGCACATCTCTGCCAAAGTCTTGATTATTGCCAGGTTGTTTATATGGTTCACGAATCAATATTAATCTCCTGTTCAAACCACTATTTCCCAATACGTTCCCAATGCCTGAAACTAAACCGTCCACAACAATAAAACACGGAGGTCTTGTGGGTATGAGTGTTTGCTCAGTAGATGAATATAACAGAAGCAGCACCTCCACACTGGATCTGGAGTAATTCTGCATTCCCTCTCTGTGTTTGTTCAGCTCCAGCTCACACTGCACACACTCCGTCATTATGCGCTGAGCGACCTTCAGGAAAACAACACCAGACCTTTGAGTTACAGAAACAACACCGTAAGCAAGGAAAGCAGCGCTTTGTGAGGAAACATGGAGTCTCACGGTGACATCTGTGGCTCGGAGCTCCTTCAGACAATCGGACGCTGTTTGATGTTGCTGTAACTGCAGAGAGAGGAAAGCCAGATCCAGCAGAAGCTCAACCCTGAAATCACGAGGGTTATAATGATTACACAAATATTTGAAAGCAATTCCTACTGGCTTTGTGGCTACAAAAGGTCATAAGTCTACCATGAGCTTAGGTGCGTACATACTAGAGAAACAGAACAGATGATAAATAGGAATAATGCATTGTGTTTTGAGGGAGTGGGAAGAATCGGTCCGGTTGAAGTAATGCAGGATTGGATTTTTGTTGCTTCTCTTAAGTTCTCATTCCTCAGAGTGTGATGCAGCAAAACTTTCTGAACTTTTGGGCACATGATTGAGCACCACTTTTCTTAAGACTTTGCAATGCAGCATCCGCATTGAAATCAATGGACAAAGCCTCAAATCCAATGTGTAGACGCTCACAGAGAAACCCTAAAATCAAAACTGTGCCTCTTGCATTCTGGCTCTGGCTGTTCAAAAGTTTGGGGTCGTATTTTTAAAGTAATGAATAGTTTTATTCATCAAGGATGCATTAGATTAACCAAAAGTGACAGTAAAGACATTTATAATGTTATAATGATTTCTATTTCAAATAAATGCTGTTCTTATGAACTTTCTGTTCATCTGTGAATCCTGAAAAATAAAATGTGTCACGGTTTCCACAAAAATATTGTGCAGCACAACTGTTTTCAACATTGATCATAATCAGAAATGTTTATTGAGCATCAAATCAAATTGTAGTGATTTTTGAAAGATCAATAATGTAATGATGCAGAAAATTCTGCTTAGCGCTGTGTGTGCTGCAGCGCTCGAGCGAGGGTGAGCAGGGGTTTCTGGACTCTCTTTCGGAGGTTGTGTTGGAGAAGCGGCAGACATGCGTTCCACTGACACACACACACCGCTTGAGTCGCCCGAGCATCTGTTTGCTCCAGCGCCGTCTGCAGCACTGCATCCAACCGCATGATAACACTCGACCGCAGCTGCGAGAAACAACACCTGCACTCAACACTGATACTTCTCATATTTTATTAGACATGCATATGAAACAGATCTTCATCTGCACTCAGCAATGTTGGCCTTTTTTATCAACAGTCGCTTATTTAACACTCATTTAAGATTATCATCTAACTTTGGCTTCTAATGTGATATTTATGAAAACTTGAGAAGCAGACAGTATTATTTTAGTATCATTGAAATACTATTACAGTTTTTATTAATAGTTTGGACAATTTTTTATTTCTATATGTTCCCTTTTCTTTTGAGTTAAAACCCTTTTTAATACATTTTGTTTTTTAATATGTCTGTATAGCTTTTTATTCATTTTTATTTTGTTTTTTTAGTTATTTTAGCAAATCACGTTAAACAAATGGAAAATGAGAAATGTTGTTAAATTGAATTTTTATTTCGGTTAACATTTATTTTAAGTACTAAAATGCTTTGTTGTAGTTAACACCATGGAAATAATTAAATTAAATTATATTATTTTATTAAATTTAATTAATAAAATAATTTAATCATGAAGTTAATTTATTGTGCTCGAATACACCATTAAAAATTGTTTTTGGTAATTGAAACAAAGCTGAAAAAATATAAACATTAGATGAAAAACATAAACGCTGCGAGTTAAAGTACTAAAATGACTAAAAACAAAAATGAATTAAAACTACATGGAAATGTTATTTCTAAAAAACGAAGTAACCATTTCTTTACTTTATTCTATTATAATTCTATAGAATATTCTATAATCTATTTATTTAAATAACTATTTTTGTCTTGTTTTCTGGTATAAATATCTAAACAACTTTAAAACATGCTTAATTTCATTGAGAAGCACAACTATGTAAGATATTAAGCTAGATATATTGAATTAAGTTGGCAAATTGTTTCTTTTTTAGCACATATTTATGTATATCGTTTACTGTTTTTACACATGCATATGGTTTTTACTATATTTAATATACTGTATGTAAAGCACATTGGCCGACATGAGTTGTTTAAAATGTGCTACAGAAATGAATACATGAAATGCAAAATAGAAATGAACAAATTGAACAGGAGCGGATAGAAAAATCAGAGCGTTGGCGCACATCTCTGCCAAAGTCTTGATTATTGCCAGGTTGTTTATATGGTTCACGAATCAATATTAATCTCCTGTTCAAACCACTATTTCCCAATACGTTCCCAATGCCTGAAACTAAACCGTCCACAACAATAAAACACGGAGGTCTTGTGGGTATGAGTGTTTGCTCAGTAGATGAATATAACAGAAGCAGCACCTCCACACTGGATCTGGAGTAATTCTGCATTCCCTCTCTGTGTTTGTTCAGCTCCAGCTCACACTGCACACACTCCGTCATTATGCGCTGAGCGACCTTCAGGAAAACAACACCAGACCTTTGAGTTACAGAAACAACACCGTAAGCAAGGAAAGCAGCGCTTTGTGAGGAAACATGGAGTCTCACGGTGACATCTGTGGCTCGGAGCTCCTTCAGACAATCGGACGCTGTTTGATGTTGCTGTAACTGCAGAGAGAGGAAAGCCAGATCCAGCAGAAGCTCAACCCTGAAATCACGAGGGTTATAATGATTACACAAATATTTGAAAGCAATTCCTACTGGCTTTGTGGCTACAAAAGGTCATAAGTCTACCATGAGCTTAGGTGCGTACATACTAGAGAAACAGAACAGATGATAAATAGGAATAATGCATTGTGTTTTGAGGGAGTGGGAAGAATCGGTCCGGTTGAAGTAATGCAGGATTGGATTTTTGTTGCTTCTCTTAAGTTCTCATTCCTCAGAGTGTGATGCAGCAAAACTTTCTGAACTTTTGGGCACATGATTGAGCACCACTTTTCTTAAGACTTTGCAATGCAGCATCCGCATTGAAATCAATGGACAAAGCCTCAAATCCAATGTGTAGACGCTCACAGAGAAACCCTAAAATCAAAACTGTGCCTCTTGCATTCTGGCTCTGGCTGTTCAAAAGTTTGGGGTCGTATTTTTAAAGTAATGAATAGTTTTATTCATCAAGGATGCATTAGATTAACCAAAAGTGACAGTAAAGACATTTATAATGTTATAATGATTTCTATTTCAAATAAATGCTGTTCTTATGAACTTTCTGTTCATCTGTGAATCCTGAAAAATAAAATGTGTCACGGTTTCCACAAAAATATTGTGCAGCACAACTGTTTTCAACATTGATCATAATCAGAAATGTTTCTTGAGCAGCAAATCAGCATATTAGAATGATTTCTGAAGATCATGTGACACTGAAGACTGGAGTAATGATGCTGAAAATACAGCTGCGCATCACATGAATAAATTACAGTTTAACAGATATTCACATAGAAAACAGCTGTTTTAAATTATAATAATATTTCACTATTTTTACTGTATTTTTGATCACATAAATGCAGCTCTGGTGAACATAAGAGACTCCTTTTAAAAACATTGAAAAATCTTCTGCATTTAAAACATTATTTTTCTTTTGCAGGACCAAAAATATTAATGACATCATTTGTGCAATTAAATGCGTTTTCAAAAATAAATAAATACATTTTAAACTTAAATTTGAAATGCCTCCAAGCAATAGCTAGTATCAGATCATGCTTTGTTGTCGTGCTTAATCTTTCAAGTGCAGTTTTGTCAGATGTGCCATAAACCAAACATTATAAAAGTCCAGCACTATGACCCTTCCTGTTTTAAAAGGAAATAGGAAGCATAACTTCTTGGGATCCTGAAGTCAAATAAACCTTGCGTAACGTTGCAGTGTTGGACGCACCTGTCGGTCAGTGGGATGGAGGAGCCGTGATCCAGACAAACACTGGAGCTGCAGGAGGAGGATGGACTCGAGTGGAGGACGCTGGGTGGTGCGCTGATGCTCTGGGTGAAGGGTGGAGGACTGGATCCGCTGGATTCATAGATGATGTTGGGTGGAGCACTGGATCTGTGGATGTCCGGTGGAGAACTGGAGGCCTGGAGGCCGGATGCTTTGGGTTCTGAGGACTGCGTCAGCAGCAGGAAAATCTCCTTCAGTGTGGCTGCATCATCTCTCTTGGCTTCACTGACATCAACCGCACTGTGAAGAACATGCAAACACAAACACTTAGTCTCAAACAGTAGAGCATGGTGCTAGAAATGCAGAGTCATGGGTTCGGTTTCTAAGTAATGCATACAATGACATGAAAAAATACAAATCCGGAAACATGCTTTGATTTATACTGCAAAGCAACTTACAGTATATAATGCAATTAACATCAAGTACACAAAACATTTGGATTTGTGCTGAATTTCAGTTTCTCTTCAAATAAGACTGGCATTTATAATAAATATTATTTATAATGAATTCTACTATAATTTATGTTTGAATTATACTTATTTTTTCATTCCTTCGAAAAAGGTTTGTTGTGGAGTGAAAGGAACAAAAATACATGTTTACTGTGTTTATAATGTTTTATTTTCCAGGATTTAATATAATTTGTTAAAGTACGGTAATAATGAAATTTGACTTTTACACCAATTAAATATATCTGTCTTTTTTTCTCTCTCTCAGCAATGCAATTTTTACCCGGTGTAACATATTTTCAAACTTATTTTTTTATGTTAAAAAATAAAAATAAAATAAAGCATTTAAAAAAATAAAAAAGGAATATATATATATATTTCAGCATTTCTCATTTTAATTTATTTTAAATTTATGTACTAAATTAACTAAAAATAAAACTGAAATAAACATTAATAAAAACTATACAGACATATATAAAAAAAGCTAAAACTACTAAAAAAATTATAAAAACAGCAACATTTCTACATTTCAAAATATTAATAAAACTAAAATAGCATCTCAGTGATAATAAAACAACACTGCTTGGTAGACAAAGACATTATGATTATGACATCTGTGTTGCTCCACATATTTTCCAACTTATTTTTCAGAAAACACAGTACCTTGAATGCAATGTAAGTAACTTTGGATAAAAGCATCTGCCAAATGCATACACATAAATGCCATGCATATTTCAAATGAAAAGTAAAAATGTAAGTAAAATCTTGAATAGTTGGTCTTTGTGTGTTTCAATACCATAATTGAAGGGTTACAGTATGCATCGATACGGCATTAATATTTTTTTATTTTTGTAGCACCTTTCCAAAACCCAAGGTCAATAACTAGACAAATATAACAAACGTCCACAAAGTTCAGTTCACATACCAAGAGCTGTAGAGTAATATTCAGAGAGAGAGAGAGAAAATAAATGTTTTAAAAGATTTCTGAAAGAAAGAAAGAAGGGAAGAAGCTTGACATGCATTGACATGTGCATTAATAATATTAATGTATGCATATACTTGCAGCTTCTGGAGGATAAAACAGCTGTAGAAATCTGAAAACAGTCTAACCTGGTTTTACAGAGAATCTATTTCCATTCCCATAAACAAGATTCTCTGACATGGATCAGAGTGACCCTGAAGATGCTGCTTCAGCTGCTGCGAACAGATGATGGGGCAAAATCCTCCATCCTTCATTGAAACTACACCGACTGTAAAAAGCTCTGCTCTCTTTTCATTTTGATTCATAGCCGGTGAGATTTACTGCTACCACCTCAGAAGACACAGAAGCCCTTGATGGACATAATTGAGTTGGTGTACTGTATATTGTGTATTTTATGCCACTCTAGTCTCTTGTGACCGCATTATATTCGACCAGGTGGACAAAAGCGCTACTGACTCGATACGCATCTGTAACCTTCTCTGAGGAATAAAGCGGCAGCATTTCTCTGAATTCTTATCTAATGCTTTTAAATAAATGATCTGATAACAGACCGAGAGAACCAGCACATCTACAAATATCTAAACATTGTTAAATCAGCATTTACTGGAAAAGCAAAGATGTATTACGTTTTAAAAGGAAAACAAGTTTCTTATTTTTTTTTTTTAAGCTTAAAGTCACTTAATTTTATTTTTTTTATTTTTTTTTTTAGAAAACAAGACTTAATATCTTAATTAATTTTGCTTCTCAAGTAAATGTATCTTGTACACTTGCACAAATGTTTAAATAAATCAATTTTTAAATAATTTTAAAAGTTTTTAAATTCGTTGTTTTATTGTTGTGATTACTTTTTTATGATTATTTTACTTCCTTTTATGTAAAGCACTTTGAATTATCATTGTGTATGAAATGTGCTATATAAATAAACTTGCCTTGCCTTGCCTTGCCTAGATATTTGTACTGTACTGGAAAACAAGAAAATACTGAGTAAGATTTTATTTGATTTATTTATTTATTTTATTTATTTTTTTGCAGTGAGCCTAGCACAGTGTGTAAATGCAGTTTGGCCTTTGAAGATGAATATAAAACATTTAAAATGACCATTTCTGCAAAAAAGTCTAAAAGCTGCTGTGTGTCATTTTTGAATCTTAAAAATAATTTATTGTATCTCATCTATCTTAATGTTCAGAGTCACTTTAAGAGTCAAACACTGAGACTCGAGCCACTTTCGTACATTAAACACAATACTTTACCGTAAAATCGCCAGACTGACTTTTCAGATAAATGCACAACATCCATGTTCAAAAAAGCAACAACTATCCATCTTTTAACCATTAAGATCCTATTCGCAGATCAGCACCAACACACCCATAAACACTGATGACAGTCATCAGAAATTATCTAAAAACCATTTTCTTCATCCACACGGATGGAGAAGCACTTTAGTTTCACAATCGGTCCAATCTGACAACCTTTTTATTGACTTCTGAGTAACCGAGTAAAGGAACGATCACACAGAACGTGTTATTGCTTTGAAGAAAAAACAAGACGGTGCACAATAGCATCACAATAGAGCACAACAGAAAAAAGACAAGGCAATTTTCTAGAAAAGATTGTATGTGTGAAAGCACTTTCAAAACACTGATCTGTTTGTTTGAGCAACTGGGCATGTGAACAGGACACCTGTTTGGCCAAACAGTGGCCGACTGGGCGAGTTTTTTTTAAGAAACCTGTTTGGAAACAATCACCATTTTTTCAATTCGGCTTGTTTCCACTACTGACACACAGCAGCTTTAAATAGGGCTTGATGGAGCAAGAAAATACTGTTTATTTACAGCGTAGGCTACACAACACAAAATGTGTTGTTTTTACTGGAGAAGTTAAGATGTGATAACAGCAGCGGTTCAAATAAAGGTACAGCGACAAAATGCAGCTGTATTTGAACACAAGTGATAAAATCACTGTTAATGTGAGAAATATCTTCCTTACTGTTTAAGCTTTTGGATCTTGTACATCACAAGCAACTTAGGGTTTACATCATTCAGCATTTCAGAGACATCCATGAGGTTGTGTCGAACCTGTGGAGGAAACATATAACTATATTTACATTCATTCATTTAGCAGACGCTATCATGTAATAAATGACATATATTGCTTTATATCAACAGTGGTAGTGCCATATATGTTACCTATAAGGCGATATTTAATTACAATACAATACAATGTTTATTTATATAGCACATTTAAAACAACCGAAGTCGATCAAAGTGCTGCACAGAGTATGCAAAACAAAACAAGTCAACAAGTTTATAAACAATAAAACGCAAACTATAAAACACACACTGTAAAATAGATGAGGTTCACTAAAATAAAGGATCATTGCACAGCAAGTCAAAAAATATTAAATGCCAAGTTTTAAGAGTAGACTTAAAAATAGAATATAATTTTCACATACTGTATGCATTCTCTGGGTAGCAGGGTTATAATAGTTAACTAAAATAAATAAATAAACATTTTTGTTATTTGAAATGTATATATAAAAATATTTTGAAAATGATATAAATATATATATAAAAAAAATAATAATAAAATAAAAAAGGTTATTTCAGCTAGTTGCAAAGGCAACATTTCTCATTTTAATCTAGTTTAACTTGATATACTAAAATGACTAAAACTGAAATAAAAATGAATAAAAACTGTATAGACATAAGGCAAAAAAAATAAAAAATTGATTCAAAATATTCATAAAAACTATAATAGTATCTCAATGACACTAAAATAACACTGGGTAAATTAAGTTTATAAAATTTCCATCGTACAATTTGCATATGTACATGTACATATGTAATATCAATATGATGATTTCTGATGATATGATGATGAATATGAAGATTTATGGTATTATAAGTAGCAATCATATATGTCAACAATATATATTTTATGTATGCAACTTTATTTATTTAACTTTACAACAACATATATACAAAAAAAAATTTTAAACACATGTCTATCTTTTATATTTACTTATGTAATATCAACATGTATTGACGGGTTTTAGGATGGATATACTGTACATGTACATGACATACATTATATGTCCAAAAATGTATTTCGCATTTATAACCATGCATATTTGTATGGGCTGGATATAATTATTAATATATGAAATTGCTCCAAATTTCGAATAGGTTTCATATATAATAATCCAAAATGCCGCTGCAAGATTAATCTTTAATGAACTGAAAAGAACGCATGTCACACCTCTGTTCATCAATTTGCACTGGCTACCAGTAGCTGCTCGCATTAAAGGCATTAATGTTTGCCTACAAAACCACCACTGGCTCTGCACCAATTTACCTAAATTAATTACTTCAGAGTTATGTGCCCTCTAGAAGCTTGTGTTCTGCAAGTGAACGGCGTATTATTGTGCCATCTCAAAGAGGCACAAAATCACTTTCACAGACTTTTTCATTAACTGTTCCCTCCTCGTGGAATGACCTGCCCAAATCAATCCGAGCAGCTGAGTCCTTAAACATCTTCACGAAACGACTAAAAATAATATATGTATGTATGTGTGTATATATGTATGTATATATGTGTGTATGTATGTGTATGTGTATGTATGTATGTAATGTATGTATATGTATATATATATATTAGGGGTGTAACGGTACACAAATATGACGGTTCGGTACGTACCTCGGTTTTAACGTCCTTTTGTTAGTTTTGACTGCTTTTATTGTCCTCATTTGTAAGTCGCTTTGGATAAAAGCGTCTGCTAAATGACTAAATGAATAAATAAATATATGTTTTACTTCATATAATGCTATATTTCATATATGGAAATATATGTAAAAATATTTAATTGCGTGTAAGGAGGAAACACACATGCAATGCATCACTACTGCAAGACTAAAACATTCTGGATAACTAGAATAATATGCCTTTATTATGGGTGTGCATTGATTAAGAGCAACTAAATAAAATGAGCCAAAAACATGTCAGTTGTGTGGAGAAGGTTAGAAAAGACACAAGATATTTTGGTGAAATAGAGCTTGAGTGAATGAGGATGGCTGCAGCTGCTTGAGCAGGATTAATAATGCAAGTGACACGCAATACAAAAGAGAAAGATGTACCTGTATGGAGAAAAGCCGGGGATAAAGCTCTGGTTTATGTGACTGTATAAAATCGGAGGTGACCTTGGCCATAGCAGCTGCCGCCTCCTTCTTCCCAGCATCGAGAAGACATTCAACAAGGTGTCTGAAGAGAAACACGAGATGAAAACAACATGAAATATGAGCCTTCACTCTGGTGTTTTACAGCATGCATTTGAAGTTCCAATGCAACCTCTTCCACAACAGACAGTAGAGTCAAGGCAAAGACCCAGATTCGATTTGAGATCAATGACAAGGCTCTTATAACTTATATTAGGGATGAGTTTCTTTTGTGCTCCAGGATTACATGCCTACAACAATAAAACAGCCATAAAGGAGTTTGATCACATCGTAAAGATTTATTATGACCTTTAAAATCCATCTCTAAACAATTTTCTCAGAATAAGTGGCGTAAAACAGGCTGAACCCTGACAGAATTGAAGGTGCAGCGTATCTGTGAGCTGCAGGATCAGGATCACTGGAGATCTGTGCCGTCAATTCAGCGCTTCAAAGGTCACGGCGGCGTCAAAAGAGCAACTAAAGGCTGCGTACTTGTCCTGATTATTGAGTTTCTTATCTTTGTACCACTGATTGCATTTGCTACCGTATCATATAATAAGTTTACATATGAATCTCATATGAACTATGCATAAAGAAAAACTTTTTAGAGTTAAATTCTCTACCGTAACCCTTTTTTTTAATCTACATTTTTAAGTGAAACTAAAACTACCATAATGTATACAAAATACTTTTGTATAAGTAAGATTTATGTATTTGAACTGCATATAAAATTTGCATGCATTTGGATCAAACATAGTTAGCATAAACAAACTATTAAACTTATTATGATGCATATTTGTCAGTCATACATAAATGAAACTGGTCAGATTTAATGGCATAGTTTATTATTAACAATTTGCATAATAATTTTTTCAAAATGCATTTATTCAAATTGCTTAGAATCAGCATAAATCTATGGAAGACTGTTTCTGCCACTGAATAAAAAAATGAAAAGATAATTTCGACTTCTTATCTCACAATTCTGACTTTTTCTTGCAATTGTGAATTTACATCTAGAATTGCATGATATAAACTCTGACTGTTTCCTCCCAAAATCTAGACTTTTTAATTGTGTCAATATCCTGCAATTCTGACATTATAAACCACAATTCTTGTTTCCTCAGGATTGTGAGATGTAAGCTTGCAATTCTGAGAAAGAAAAAAAAGTCGCAATTATCTATACATGTTTTTTTCATTCTGTGGTGGAAAAGAAACTTTGGTAACACTTTACTTAAAGCCTTTATGTATAATGCATTATAAAAGTAGTTTTAATGCATGAATTATGCCTTGTAATGCACCTTATAATGCATTGTACAATCTCATGAATAACTGTAACCCCGGTTAATTCATTATACATTCATTGTTACACGCATTTTAAATTCGGTTATAATTATTTACGACAAGATACAATGTATTACAATGCACATTATGAATAATTATAATGCATTATATCCTGTAATAGCCATTTATAATGCATTATACATAAAGGCTTGGATTTACTGATGATACATATATAAAGCTGGTTATTATGTATTTAGTACTATTACAGAAATCTGACCTGTTGCATTTATGTATGACTGAGTTCATTCGTTTATGTTAAAACTGTATAATCCGAATGCATGGAAATACTTTATTTGCATAATCAGAAATGAGAATTGGAGGGGAGAAGATCTGATATATTTCCATTATCAAAAAACATGCTTAATTTTCTTTATGTAAATTATGATTGCATTTTTCTTTTCTATGACACTGGACTGAATTATGACCCGGACTTCGTTCTTGACTGGTTTCATGATATTCACTCACATTGTGTGCATAAAACAGTAATTAGACGTCAAACGTGAAGCCACCTACAGCATTAGCTCAGCCCTCCATGTGTGATCAGGATCCTGAACCTCCTCTAGAGCCTCGAGCACCTGCGTGAGAGAAGAAACCAGGAGCCGTCTCTGTCCAGGCCTCAGGAACCGCCGGACGGACTGCAGGTACAGCAGCGAGGCGTTGAACACCAGGAAATGATATCTAATGAAAAAAGAACGAGGCGGGGGAGAAGCAGAAAGAGACGGGAATAAAAATAGTCGGATTAATTATTCAAGCTATCACTGTTGGGAAGATCAGAATCCGATTTCTCACTACATCTCAATTTATACTGCGAGCGACCTTAGATCTCAAAGCGTGTGAATGAGTAATGAGCGCATGAGCCTTTCAAAGAGCCACGGGAGGCCTCAATGTCCATGAGATATAAAGCAATTACTGCAGGATGGGCGAGGACTCTATTCCGGAGTTGCTAATTTATCCACCAGAGAACGGCAGCGAGTATCTGAGCTGTTTTCCCTCTGGCAGAGCCTGAGAGCCACTACAGAAGCAGTAAAGCAGTGATTACACATCCATCATACAACAATTACAAGTTTACAGTAGATATAACATCATCCAGCCGAGCCCTGTCCACTGGACGTCCCTTGATAGTTTGTTACTTTGCTAGTGTTCATATTTTAAAGTTAATTCCACGAGGAGTTGCTTAGTGTTTATGATTGATCATCTGGCATACTGCTTAAATATTTAAAATCTCGACACTCGTGTTAAAGCCTGAAACTATTTAATTTCCATCTCAGAGGCTGTTACAAGGTGTTTGAGGGTGTAAATTAAAGCTGTATATGTATACAACAAAAATGATATTTCACATAAAAAAAATTGGATTTTGTTGTTTCTAAAAGAAGTCTCTTTTGCTCACCGAGGCTGTATTTATTTAATCAAAAATAGTGTAAAAAAGTGTTAAATATTATTACAGTTTAAAATAGCTGTTTTCTATGTGAATATGTATTAAAATGTAATGTATTTATGTGATGTGCAGCTGTATTTTCAGCATCATTACTGCAGTCTTCAGTGTCACATGATCTTCAGAAATCATTCTAATATGCTGCTTTGCTGCTCAAGAAACATTTCTGATTATTATCAATGTTGAAAACAGTTGTGCTGCACAATATTTTTGTGGAAACGATGCATTACCAAAAGTGTGAGGAAAGTAATATTTGACAAAATAAAGAAAGAAAACAATTCTACTTTTATTCAACAATGATGCATTAAATTGATCAAAGGTGAAGGTAAAGACATTTATAATGTTACAAAAGATTTCTATTTCAAATGCTGTTCTTTTGAACTTTCTATTCATCAAAGAATCCTGAAAGATAAAATGTATCACGGTTTGCACAAAAATATGTGTGTAAAAAAATCACAAATGCGATCTTTGTTATAGTTCTCAATAGATTCTCCTGCTGAAGTCTCTACTTCTCAGAGCCCTGTAATCTCATGCGTCTCCTCTAGAGTTTCAGATGAGATCTCAATAATGTCTCAAAGCGTGCTCAGATTCGTCAAATGTGCAATCATCAAAAGTCAGAGATCGCAAGCATTTCTCATGAATTCCCCAATGAGTCTCCTAAACTATGAAAGAGTCATCTCTGAGCAATACGATGCTCCTCTTGCTTGTTTTTCTTGATGAAGTGGGTCACTTCAGACTTATTTTAATCAGGACAGGAGATGAGAGAGAAGAATCAGTTTCTCTGTTCGGATAGTTTACTCTACCTGGACTTGTCTTTGGCAATCTCAATCGCCTTCAGATAGTACATCACAGCCTTATCCAAGTCCTCCTGGAAACAGAGCAACAACAAAAATAGGAACAAAATTAAAGATGTGAGGGACAGATTTATTTAGCATTGAAGTATTTTGAGAGTGTATTGAGTGTACTCGAGTGCATCAACTTCAGAGCTCACAGAATGTCTGTCTTTGAAAGGTTTATACTTATATCGTTAAAAATGAATTCCCTATGGAGAAAATGAATGGAGTTTTACCTCGGAACCCAAGTGTTGGAATAAGTGGTTGTTTACTGTCTCAAGTGAAAAGAGTCTCTGTGAGATCCTATGTTTCCAGAGTTTCCTCTCATTATAAAGATCATGTTATATATTCTCAAACTGACACGTTTAGAGCTCAGAGGTCAAAGACTGATGCTCTTTAATGAGCCCAGCACACTGTTTGGACTTACTGCTGTGCTAATGGAGCGTGAGGAGATGAGCTGACCCTGGCACAGATACGCTCGACACAGGAACTGATTGGCTGGAGGTTTCCCTTCCAAGTACATCGTTAAACAGTCCTGTGTGATTTCCCGACAGCCCAGCTGACAACACAACACACAACACAACAACAGACGATGAGTGTGTCAGACGTCCTGCATGCAGATCACGACCAGGTTTATTACAGTTAACTAAAATCATTGCAAATATGTTACTTCTAATAAAAAAAAAAACTGAATAAAATAAAATGCAAAATAAAAAAAAGCTTATTTCACCTTGTTGCCAAGGCAACATTTGTCATTTTCATTGTTTAACTTGCACTAAAATAACTAAAAATGAAAAAAAAACAAAAAAAACATGTATATAGACATAAAAAACTACTAAAAATGACAAAAAGACAAACAAATTACTACAACTTTAACTAAAATTAAAGTGAAAACAGAAAATTCCAAAAATAAAAACTGCTTTAAAATATTCTTAAAAACTATAATGATACTAAAACAACACTGATCTCAACACACAAGCTCAGACCAAAAACATGAAATGCATTTTATTATGTGCACAAAACTTATTGAAATAGCCTAATTTATTAAAAAAAATATCTGTGCACACTATGCTTTTTTTATGCATATGCCATTATTCAAGTTCAGTTAAATTAACAATATACATTGTTTCAAAACAGCTTCAAAGAAGCTTTAATGTTTATGATATCTTAATATCTTCATGCCTTATAGTTGCATTTAGCAGATTAGAGCTGGATGGATATACAGTTATTTTGCAACAATATAAACAATTCAGCACTTGAGATTTGCTATATAGTACAGTATGTATCCCTTTGTGTGTATGTCCTGTATGAATGTGGGTCAAATCTAACTTTATTTATAGATATGTTATATACAATAACATAACTGCATTTTGCGATGATATAAACGATCACAGCTGAGATTTGACATGCTAATGTAAACTCTATAGGAAATCAATTGTGAGTCATGTCACCTAAAACGCTGAGCACTATTTGTGTGATGCACAACGTTGCTGTCTTATCAGTCACTTATGAGGTTTCATTTCAGTTAGGGTGCTGCCTATGAAGGCAGATCGCTCACTAGTTTTTGGAACAGAACCATCTGAGACACTTGCCATCAGAAACGTCTCAACTAATGAAAGCCCTAAGCCTCAAACATACACTATCTCCCAGTTGGCAATAAATATTTTGCCACATCAGGAAGCACACAATGGCCCTTGGAACTTTTTTAAGTGCTTGGGTGCAAAAAGTAAGAGATTCAGCACAAGCTCCTGTGTTCAGCTTACTTCAGACAAGCGCGGTATATATTATACACTCCTTCACTTCTGAGGGGAATGAATTCACAATGCTCATAACCCGCGCTGTCTCTGTATGAGAGTTATACTGCTCGCATATCTGTTTAGGATTTCTCACTTCACAAGTCATTGAGCAAAAGCCTGCTCAGCTCTATTTGTCAGCTTTTCTATTCTCAGGAAGGGACGCTTCAAATGATTGCTTTTTTCTGTTGGTCGAATGTTACATTTGAATTGTGTCAGCATGTAAGGGATGATTTATACACATATTTAAGGTGATATGACAACAAAATTGCTCTCTCTTCTGCTCTTGTGGCTGACCAAGCAGTTTGAAAACACTTCCATATCAGCTCTATGTTTATAACTTATGTTTCACGAGTGCAGAGAGACCACCTTGTTTGCTCCTTCATTGCATATCAGCTCAGAGAGGCATTTATTTTAAAATAAAATATAGAAATTACTTGAAAAGTGAAATAAAATGTCTAACGGTTATTTAATAGGCCTATGATTGAAATTTGATGTGGTATAATTACTATTTGTACATGGTCTAAATAAAATACTGCTATTTTCACTTAATTGTTCCTAATGCAAAAAAAATATCTAATTAAGAAGATACTGCTATTTTCATTTAATTAACTTAATGCAAATAGCATCCAAGTACTATTTGCACTTAATGTAAATAAAATACTGCTATCTTTACTTCATTCACTTATTGCAAATAGCATCTTATTACTATTTGTGCTTAGTGCAAAGAAAATACTAAAATTTTCACTTAATTAATTTTATGCACCTAGTGTAAAGAAAATACAATTATTTTCACTTCATGCATTTAATGCAAATAAGATCTAATTACTATTTGCACTTTGTGCAAAGTTGAATGCACTGCACTTAATGCAAATTGCACCTAATTACTATATGCACTTAGTACAAAGAAAATCCTGCTATTTTCACTTAATAAACAATGCAAATAGCATCTAATTACTGTTTGCACTTAGTGTGAAAACATAATGCTAGTTTCAATTAATGCATTTAATGCAAATAGCATTTAATTACTATTTGCTCTTTTTACTTGATTAACTTAATCCAAACAGCATCTAATTACTGTTTGCACTTAGTGTTAAAGGTCTTGAGGTGAATCTCGCAAAACCTGTCAAGAACTTGTCCAGTTCACTGCAATTTACTGTATTCTAAATTAAAGTATATATTTAAAAAAAATAGTGTATTGAGAATCAGCCTTGAGAATAAGAAGAATTACAAAAATATTGCATGCAAAACATCTGGACGCCTACAGTAATCATATTTTTAAGGGTAAAAGGCATAAAAATAATATCGCAATGCAATAAAAATCTGTAAGTGTCACACTTAGCCTATGGCGCGGAGCGAGGAACGAGGAGAACAGGAGTACACGAACAACAATAGTCTTTTCATTCAGAATATCCAGGAAGTAACATTTGGCAGCTGGGAACACAGGAAACACAGGGGTTGACGTTCAATCTCGGACAAGGACAGAGAGCACAGACTCGAACTTAAATGCAAGGGATAATTAACAAACACAGTTGTACTGAATGACTAATTAACTGGGAAGCGGAACACATGGGGAAGAAACTGGGTCACAGAGCACAACAAACAGTCCAGGGGCGTGACATTACTCCCCCCTCCCGGTAGGTGCGTCCTCTCACCATAGAAACAACATGGGGAGGGGAATGGGTGGGAACTAGGGAGGAGGCTCAGGAGGAGGACGGACACCCAGGAGGGGGCCGGCAGACAGAGTCCAGGGAGGAGACGAAGGAGGGAGGAGCCAGGGAGGAGACAGACGGGGCTTGGAGCAGGAGGAGCCCAGCAGGACCCAGGCCACAACCATGATGTCGACCCACGGTGGAGCCGACGGAGGGAGGAGCCATGGAGGAGGAATGGCCGCCGACTCCAGGGGGCCGACCAACGGCGGCGGAGCCAATGAGCCAGGGCGACGGGGGAGGATCCGGAGGTCCTAGACGGAGCAGATGGTGCCAGCGACCGACGCGGAGATGTGGATCCAGGAGGCCGCGGTGGAGCCGGAGCGACAGAGGACTGAGGTGGAGCCGAGGGGATGAAGGAGCCTGACAGAGCCGGAGGGACAGAGGGACGAGGCGAAGCCAGAGGAGTGGAGTCCCGAGGCGCAGGATGGTCGACGCCAGACCAAGGCGGAGCCGGAGGGACGAGGGAGCCTGGCGGAGCTTGTGGACTGCCGGGCCACGACGGAGAGGAGGGAGCTAGGAGCCATGGTGGAGCCGACGGGTCAACGGGCCGAGGCGGAGTCCAGGCCTCGGAGGCTGGAGGC